CACTCCATATATGTAGAGCCATTTAAATGATGAGCGCTAAAGCTAAACACTGAATAAAACCTCGTCGAAAAACGAGTGACRCTAAGTAATAAACTAATAACCAATAATCTAATGCGGGAAGATAAGGCAACATCTTTTTTCCGTTTTGGTCATGTTGTATTGCTTGAAGCGTGTACGCCAAGTGCTAAGTAGTAAGTTGTGCGTACAACGTGAAGGRCCTTCACAAGTCATAAACTCATAATCATAAAGTAGGAACGGCGAGATTATGACGGAAGTGTAAGTGCCAGGCTATCCAAAATATTTGGTATCGATTTGACCTTAAAATATGCATTGGAGATACAGAATATTTGAAAAGAAAACTTCATAACAAAAATGTTGTTAAGAATATAGGTTTATTTTAATTTCTGGAACGAAAATCCATCTTAATTATACCACTTCACCACCGCCCGCCTCCCACACAAAAAACCAACCARACTGAACATGTTTGTGAAAACGACGCCAAATAAAGACAAAATAATGGGTGGCAATCGAATCACATCTACCATATACCAAGCGCCGCGCCCACTCCCAAAAATGAAAAACGTTTGATTTGATACGATTTTTTTAAATACGTCATCGCAAATGTCAAGAATATAGGAGATTTACGATGGCCGGCTCCTCAACTCTTCAGCCCGAAAAAAAACGTCAAAAGTGTTGTGGGTGCTAATGCTTGTACGTAGCCCGCCCATAGATAACATTATTTAATATTATTGTCGGCGTAGTCGTGTACCGACGCTKTTACTACTTACTTCGATGATGATCCTGCCGGCCGGTTGTCCATCAACGGTCATGTCGAAAAACACTTTAGGGTTGGCCATTGCACCAGTGGGCGGCTGTGTTGTCTGTACCGAAGAGGCGTCGTTAGGAATTTGGAGAGCAACCGAAAGCGGTAGAAAGAACAAAATGTGACGACGGAACTGAGAACGTTGAGCGTACTGTAGTACTGTGTGCAGCCTGCTGCCGCTGCGTGAGGCTAATAGGCAATAGCTATTATATAGCAGTATTAGCTATTAATGTTTGAAGTTTAAACCTTTAAACGCGGTAATGCGGGACGACCGGTGGTTCAAAAATCGTCGTCAGACTATCGAATATCGATGTTCTCGATAGTTGCAGGCTTGCAGCCTAACCTACGGAAGACCTCGTAAAACTCGTGACGATAATCGACAATAGTTTATTTTATTGTTTTTGTTAAATATCGATTTCTAGATTTTGTCGTCAGTCAATATGGCGTCGGTTTTTAGGTGGGGTGGTTTGAAAATCGATAAACTGTCGCGTCGTCGCAAAATGGTGGGAATGTGGGATATTTGAAAATATCCTCTTGCGGGAGCGGGACTCCATGGCGTCCAAATGATTTACAATATAATATATACTTCTTCTAGCTGATGTAAACCGTATGAAATGGTGATTTAATTTTCATCTTTACCCCTCAGTGACGTAAACATAATGTTCATAATTTTTTCCGTCCATCATTATCTAGTTCAGAAGCAGTAAAACTGGTGGTACATTTTTCAGATTACAAAGTATAGRTATGCAAATTAAATGTTTTTTGGTATCAAATTGGAACTTTGAAGGAATATCAAAAGTAAAAGATTCTCAATTCAAAATCATTGAAAAAGAGAATACACATAACCAGTTTTTACCAAAAAATTTGTTTTTTGTAGTAATTCAAAAAAGAATAATTTTCAWAACGAAATTTTCAGCAAAGTTTATAATAGGATTTTCTAGATGTCAATTACAATGATCTTTTTGWATTTTTATTATCTGCAATGGCGTAAATGCAATCTAACGTAACTTTTAAGATCGTAATTCATAATACACCATAAAATGATGCTGGTTGTTGGATATGGTATCCAGTTTGTGGACCTATGTATAAATGTGGCACTTTAATTAGAGATTAGCACAACAAATAGTAGATCATAAATATAATATATCATATAGTTATGGCAGATTGTTTACAACACCAGTTAAATATGTATACATTATGGCTATAAATTGCTAATGATACATTGCAGACACTGTTAGTTGTTATCTTATTTTCTATACATAATTAYATTTTAAATATATTTATTCTAAGTCTATGGACCTATTTAGACTGTTCTACAGTATAACAGTATGAACTTATAAGATAACAATAATAATCTTTGATATAAATATAAAATATACAACATWATAATAATTTTATCATATATATTGTGATGTTTTTAGCAAAAATAAGTTCAACCTACTGTATTACTAATAGAAAAAGAAATTACATACAGTAATACAAATTATTACAAAATATCAATAAAAAAATGCTGGCAATATACTTTCATCATGGTATTCAAATAAAAATATTTAATACATCTATTAGAGTTATGATTTACTCAATGCTGTGCTAATGCCTACAATAAAGTAAGTTAGTAGAAAAATTTTCCCATTTTTAAACATTTGATTTGGGTGGTAGAAAAAATAAGAAAAATAGTGTTTTAATGATTTTATTATAATTTATAAGTAATATTATTAATT